AAAAAAAAAGAAGGAAGAATAATCTTTATATATTATTAAAAGATGTTTTTGTTTAATATTTATGTACTTTTTTTTCATTGAACAAATTTAATTGCCTATGGCCAAAGGACAAGACTACTAATTAATACTACTTCTAGATAAATTAAGTCAATCTCGAGACGAGCTGCAGTGGCTAGCACTTGCAAATCTCATTTCAAACAAAGTTTAAAACGGTAGTTACAACCAAGAGTAGGACCATTTGTATGTGAGCACACAAAATAAACGCAAACAAGTTGTAAAAATGTAATGGTACCCATATACACTCAATCAAGAGCATAATTTCGATTCGACATCAAGCGATCTCATTTCCAGACTACATGTAAACATTTACATGTTAGGCATTGTCACAGAGAGCTCGATTTCACTAGATCCTCGTAAAAAATGTATGTTGACGGATTTACCTTGTCCGAGAACAAACGATCATCATATCCCTACAATGCAGTTATATGCTCCCTAGGAGCTAAAAAGTAAAAACACATCATTACCCATCTTAGCCTATTCTCTTTGACTACCCAAGCCACAAAGCTTATATCCCTAAAGACAAAACGACTAGCCTACAACTTTGGATCGGTTATCCGGACAAAAACAATGAACTAAGATATCGGTTGCCATTTCCTACAAAGCAAAGAATAAGAAAATGTTTATGAATGTTGAAGTTGGATGAGAGCCTAGTTACAACACCAGATAAGTTCGTTTTCAACAATGGGTGTGTTTGCAAACACCAAAAAAAAAGGGAAATGAATGCCTTCTGTAGTTTCCAGGAGTAAAATACTCCCGTTTTTTTCCCTAAAAGACTAAAAATTGTTTGTTAGTGTTTGCAGAGACACCCAATATTACCTTGAATTCACTTCGCCAAGTGAATTCATCTTGTCAGCAATCTTTAGTGAGTCCAAATAGGCTCTGCAAACAAAATGCAAATCTATGTAAAAGAAGCAGTGCACGTTTTGTCATGGTTAAAAACTGACAGTGCACAAATGGTACCTTCTCATAGCTATAATTTCCACACTATTCAGAGCTGCTCCTAATCAATATGACATTATCTAGACATGCAAACGTCTTAACGTGAAGTAATAGCGAACACGATAGCAAATGGAAAACCAAGGGCATTCTTTAGGCAGTTTGAGTAAAGCACCATAACATTTTATAAGGAAATCAATTCTGTTGATGCAAACAGATAAAACCTAGAAGAACTATTGATCCAATGACAGTTACACTGAAAAAGCAAATTATTTTAGATAATGCTATATTTTGAGTGGACATGTATCATAAGGGACGTCAAAGAATTCACTCTAAACTACATTCTTTATCACTGGGATTAAAGAAATAGTAAGTGACACCATTTATATTAATATAATTACACATACAGACACACATATATATACATACATATGTATATATATATATATATATATATATATATATATATTCATGTGCTATGCTTCAAAGAAAAAATACCACCTGCAATAGAAGAAGGGTGTATTACTAATAGATGTTAGATGATTCCTTTACAAGTCCACCAGACAAGGTCGTCGTCATTTGACAAGCAGGTTTACAGAAAAGCCAGAAAAATGAAAATGTTTCTCAATATAACATGTATTCAAATACAACGAGAAAATACCCTTTTAGGTCTAGTTACATATACATAATCGTTAGCTTAAATCCCATGCATTTTAATATACCAATGTGATGACTCAACTCCTAAAAATTGTTACTTCATTCTTCCAGGTGTATGTTACATCCCCACAACTGGACTGTGCAAGTAATGACAGAAATAAAAGGTTACAAGAAACAAAAGGATTTACAGCAGTCAAACATTTCTCAGCACGTGTTACATTACTGGCATGGCAAAACTTCACCGTGAGAATTAACTCTGGACCTCATAGGTATTGTTTGTTCACAAACCATTTCTGGCAATCCCCATGTTAACTATGCCACTATTTATAGTAAAGGGAATTGGCTGAAATCCACCTAGTGGTAACTATATTCATGAATTAACATGATATTACAATGAAGCTTTAATAAATGGTTAAATCACTATGCAGGTCTTCACAGGTTCAGGTAATGCAAAAGTCCAGGTATCACTAACAGCTATAAAAAAGTCACGCATCCCGAGAAAATGCTACGGGAAAAAGTGACCCTCAGACTGTTAGACAGTGTGTTCCACTCCATTTGTTACATCAAGAACATTGAAAATCAAATACTGAAAGAAAATCAAAGACCAATAAACAAATAGCATTAAGACAATTGAAAACAATTATTTCAATTTAGTGAAATATTGAATTGCACTGTCAACTCCACTAACACACATATCCAGTTATTAGTTGAAATTCGTCTTCGATAACTTAATTGCCTAGACGTATGAAGAGTCATTTTAGTTTTCTATTCCACATCCCTATGAGTGTGGAGGTGTGGAGCTGCAACTTATACTGTTTTAAGATATCTCGAGTATTTTCAATCAATTTAAAAATTTTAAAAATAACAAGATAAAAGGGAAAAAAATAAAAATTTGAGGCCAGGCAATTTTGAGGGAATTTTTGTCATGCTTAATCTCTGAACGAAGATCGGACCTACAAAATCAGTGATGAGTACTGCACTCCAAATACCAGAAGATACAAGAAACCCGAAAGATCAAAGTAGAAGATGAGTGCAAAAATCAGTTCATCCATAGACTCAAGAACAAATGGTCACATTCACGTACATTTAACCATAGAGCAGACAGTCAATGTAGGACACTCACCATACATAATTTTGTCATGGTTTTTGTTATTACTATTGGGGAGTTGGGTTCAAGGGTTTAGGCTCTCTAATGAGTAATGGCATACATTTTTAAATTTCGGTGCTGTTCTGTCCTGTTCATTTGATAAAGGTTGAGCCAATTGTATTAGACATTTTGATTGGTCGTTTATAAACTTCTATCTAGGTCACTGAATGGAATACATGTATGCTTAAAGAACAAGATGAAACATGAAGACAGAAATGAGCTTTCACTAATAAATGATTATGTACCTCAGATAATTTCACAATAGTTAGCACAGAATCCCACAATTCTCACTTCCAACATTTGGTCATAAAATTAAAAGATCAAGCACCACCTTCAGCCTGCTACCTTTATTGCTCCCATTTCATCTATCTTTGAGCTCTTGTGCTGCAAAATTTCGGGTGTCATATATACGATTTACAGAAGAAATAAGCAACTGCTTTAGGAAACTATGGTAACCCCAGCACTACTTATAAGAAATTTTAGGAAAAAAAGGTACAACTGATAAACACAGTTGACTGCTCCTATTACCTTACTTTTCTTGTGTTTATGAATGTCGTTGCCATCTTCATCTCCATCATGCTTTCTCTTCTGAAATACAGATATTGGGAAGTGCAGTTTGATTAAAAGTTCAATCAACAATGCCATCACGAAAAAAAATTACTGACACGCCATTAAGTTATGAAAGAGTATAAGTGAACCAACTTAACAACAAACTAAAACTTTAAATATCAGGTATTTCTCTCTTAGTGTTTGTGGTTCTCTTTTTACCAACATAGCCTCCTGAGATTGCCATCCTCCAAATTAAATATTACATTCAATGGAGAGGACATCAGGCAGTCAAGATTTTCCAACAAATAATAGGTTCAGATTGGACTTACCTTGGAAATTTGGAGCAACGTTATGATTTTAAAGAAGTATACAAACTAAGTATGAGCACTGCTTTACGTATTACTAAAAATAATAATCCGAGCAATACTGATTAGGATTCTTGGGGATATCTGGGTGAAGAAATTTTTCGAGAGACATGCACTGAGACTTGTATGTATGGTTCTATTAACAGAGAAATGAAAATGGGTGATAAAACCAATTTGAAACTGCAACAGTTCACAAACCTTCTCATGATGTCTTTTCGAGTGGTCATTGCCAGAATCATTGTGACCATTTTTATCTTTTTTCTTCTCCTTTTCCTTGTCTTTGCTTCGATCTTTATGCCGATGTTTATGCTTTTTGTGCTCTTTATGCTTGTCTTTATCTTTGTCCTTGTCCTTGTGCTTTTTATGTTTCTTCTCCTTGTCTTTAGATTCACTTCTAGGTTTCCCAGAAATGGTGGGAATGCCCTTCTCAGACTACAAAATGTTGTAACATTACATAGAATTTCTCTCTTTGCAGTCTAATTAATTATAGCAGCCAAATAATATCGTAAGTGCAGTGTAAAAACTCACTGGAGGAAGAGAAACAGGAGCAGTTTCCCTCAGTTGAAAAGCTTCTCGAAGGATATCTAAGTCAAAAGGTTGTATACGGGTTTTAGTTTCCCTCGATGTGGATGCATCTTGAATAAGCTGGCCTAATTGCATGCCTTCCCCTTTTCTGATATCTGTATCCCCAACCACATTGTGAAGATAGTGTGCGTCTGATACTGATGCCGGCAGTGGTCTCTTGCAGAAGAAATCATAGTGAGGCAACAACTTGTAGTGACTTATAAGATCCACAGCACCTGTAAGTTCTCTTGGACCTAATTTCAAGGATGGGTTAAGAGGCTAGTTCCAAAAAAGGAATTAAAACATTGACTGCAAAAACACAAGCAAAAACCAAAATCATATTTTCTCAAGAAAACACATCCTGTATCTGTAAATATCGTTAGCAACTCCACCAATCAATGGAACAACTGTGATGAACTGAGAGTAACAAATGTGCCATTGTGCCAAATGCATCACCCCTCGGCTGGATTACAATCAAAACTCTTTTTGAATATACGGATAAAGGGGGTACAGGAATGTATAAGACTTGAGAACATTGTAAATATGTAAAAAATTACATCCTTTGCAAAAAAACAAGCAATGGGTGGAATACCACAAACCATGCGGAGAGCCGGACTGGTCTATCAAAGAAAGAGATCACTGTGTCTATTTTGCCATAATACAAAATTCCCACACACTAATGGACAAATTGTGTGTGTTATATTGCACTCACTGGGTATATAGAGATGCAACTTTCAAATGAGTAGATAACCACAAGAAGGCTCTAAAAAAGAACACTGACATATGTCTACGTTTTTTGTTATGTGGTTTCAATGAAACCAACTCCATAAATGAACATGAAGGTTGTCATTTAAAATACAAAAGAGAGAATAGAAGTAAAATGGTTTCCAACATTGTCGAATGAACTATTGGTCCCACAAATACACAAAAGACTTGATCACACCAAATTCGTCCATTGTGCCCTCCAAACTTACACCCGTCTTAAGAATTGTTCTGACACACCACAGGAAGAATATCCTCCGTTTACCTTACCTTGTCTGATAACTCCAGCATGGAGATAAGAAGAAAGTACACATTTCTGGATTCCCATATTTAGTAATGCGCAAAAACATGGTACATAACCTCACTCTAGTCAAAAATCATACCAGAGTACAATAAGAAAAGCTAATAAAAATAGCTGCAGCAAGCTCCATACTAAGAATCATTACCTCTTCCAAACTTCTTGTTATCAGAATCCATTGATCAGCTTCTAATATCAAAGTATCTCATCACTCCCAAAGATTCTACAGAAACAAAACAAAGAATAATTAACTTGACAACTGGCTTTTATATTCAAACCTAAGTCAATCATATAAAGTATTGGTACCATTATGAGCAAAAAACAAAAGCTATGGAAAAATAAGAGAACAAAATTATTGTAAGAAAACCCAATACCTGCAGAGTTCCTATAAAATTGATCACATGACACATTAGTTGGATGTGCACTAAGATAGAAGCTTGGGTCACAGGTCAGAGAGAGTGATAAAAAGAATGAAAAACACAGCGTGGACTCAAAATTCAACAGATCCCAAAATCTTCTGCACAGAGATTTCGCCAAACATTTGAATGTGCTAATAATGATTCAATATACATTTTCCCTAATTAATAACTGGTGATTCAAGATTCTTGCTAAAATGTAAATTGGATGAAATTGTTTTTTGGCTAAATGACAAGGTGGATTTCTTGTTCGGTTGTTTCAAAAAACTCCATTCCTTTTTTGGATGCCTCATTTTGGATCCCATGAGGCGGACCTTGGCGGGAAAATTTTTGAAAGAAATCTACGCTGAAATGGGTGGAGTAACAGAAAATATAGCTAGAAGGGCTCTTTTAATAGCAGCATCCAAAATGCCTATCCGAACTCAATTTATTTTTTCGGGATAAAGTAAAGACGAAGGCATAACTTGGACCCATGCGCTTCATATTCGCCCGGAGTTCGCCCCCAGAAACCTAATATTTAATTTACAGATTGACGCATACGAGCCCCTATCAGTCAGGATGTTGCTGATATTAAGCTCTTAAATTACAGGAAATCACTCCACACGCCAGACTTGCTGTAACATTGTAAGACCTTCAGCAAAGAGGGATACACAGAAAAGAGAGATAGAGGATTGATTTATCTTATCCATTACACTATTACAGAACATTTTTTTAGGGGAAACAAATCTACTTCAGGGTCAGTAGCAATTGCGTGATTTACTATTATTTAATACATTCATTGTATTTGTCGGGATCAGGAGCTGCATTACAAGTAACTATGTCTGTTTACATTTAAGTTTTGTTTTTTACTTTTGAACAACATATCTTATCAGAGTTTGTATGTTGATGAAAATACAAACCTGTAAAAAGGTAACATGTAAAAATATTCCTTTGTTCATGCAATAAATGAGCAGATTCTATGAATTTGATAGTTCCGTTGTCTGAACATGCTGCATTTATACAATTGATGGCAACTCTCTCGCCCTACTGTAATATACGATTATTGTTTACTACTCATTCATGCGACATGAAAGGACAAGTCAACAAACCATGACATTTGGCCCAATATGACCATGGGACACACCCAGACTTCGTCGGAAGTAATTATCTACGCTTTACAATTAAATTTTCATTATAATTCCAAAAAATGCATCTTTATCAAATTGTTGTTAGTTGATGAAAATGCAAACTCGCAACAAGGTACTAGTATTTTTGCAGTAAGACTCATTTAACAAATCAAAATTCCTAAGCCCCTTATCAGAACGTGACCCTACTGCAGAAAATAGTTAATACTTATTAATGCCACGAGTGAGGCCAAATGCCAAATCATGATCAAGTAATATTCATGGCATCCCGATAACTGAAAATTTTCCAACGGATCATCTTTTCAAAGAAATGAAAAAAGTTATACAGCCACACAAATAAATAATTTTCCAACCACAATCATATCATTATTCACTAGCTAAGCAGATGTTCAGACTACCACAACAATACAGGGAACTAATCAATACTCAGTCTCGTCATGCGTTCCAAAAATGTCGTAAATAACAACATACAGGCTAATTCAATTGAGATACCTCGCCTAGATTATTCAGAAACTTAACCAACTAAAATAGGATCAAGAAAATGTTAACTCTCCAATAAAATTCAAAGCAATCTAACATACAACTATATCGTATACGCCTTTTCCACAATGATAAACCTAACACAGTTAAAGCTTCGGATTATTGA